AAAAAGAATTAAGAGCTCTGATGCAAAAAAACCTGTCGGTGAAAAGCAGTGATTTTGAGTAAAAATGACTGAGTGTTCAATTCTGACTCTCAGAAGGAAACTTGGGCAAGTTAATCTCCTACGCTGCAGTTTCCTTATCTGTGAAGCGAGAACAATACATATAATTAACATAATATTAACAATAGCATTGTTGTGGAGATTAGGTGAGCTGAACATGAGTAACTCTTGGCACAGTCCCTGGCATATAGCAAGCACTCAGAGAATTTTAGCTTTACTCTTATTATTATAATTTTATTTTATTTGCATTGTAAATAATTCTGAAATAGATATCCATGTACATAATTCTTTGACCATAATTCTGATTATTTCTTTATGATGGGTTCCTAGAAGGAATATTATTTAGGTTCAAGTGTAGGAACATGTTGAATAATCCTGTTTTTTAAAGTGATCCAGAAAAGGCATGTCAACAGCTTGCTTCATTCTACTACCAGGAAATTCTTGAGCTCTGGGAATTAAATTTTTAGCATTATTTAGTAGATTACAAACAGAACTAAGGTTTATGTAAAAATCTAGTGCTCTTTAAAATCTCTTTGTGATAGGTCATTAGCAATAGAGAGAAAATAAAAGGGCAAGTTCCCTGTTCTAAAAAGCTCCAGCAGCCACAGAAGCGAAAGGTTTGGAGCCCTGGGCCCGGCTTTCTGTAATCCTTGAGCGGCACCCATTCTCTGCATTCCTTCCTAACACCTGCCACTTTAAGTCCCTCACTTTGCATTGCCATTGAGCTTTTAGTCTCCCTCCTTAGCTCTGACCTTTTTAAGGATGTGACTTTTAACTAACCTCTGGCCTGGGGTCAGCAGTTAAGCTGTCCATTCTCCCAGACCCCTTTCATCTTTTGCCTTTTTAAGGACAAAGCCTGCTGTGCATAACTTATACATGTGTTGGTCGTCTCAACCCTTTCTTAGGTGATGAAACCTCAGAAGGCAGGTGCAGTCAGGACTGCGTTGAATGGATATCATGAGAAATGAACTTTTAAGAAGAGCTTTAGCCTTTGGGCTCCTCAGGAAAATTCAGCCTGTTCAAGTCTCACTTCAATGCCATCTTTTAGGGGAGACTAGAGGAGTATTCCTAACGGAGCCAGTCTTGATATAGTTTCCTCATTTTGAAAGTGAGGTCACTTGCAAGGCTGTTGTGAGAATTAAATGTTAGAAAATGTCCTGTCCTCAAGGAGATCTTAGCTTTCGGGGGCGGGGTGGAGAGAGGTGGGACAGAATATACACAGATGTCTGTAACCCAGGGTAGAGGACGTCAGGGTCATGAAGCACATGGGATTCTAAGAAAGGAGAGATGAGGTTGAATGGTAAAAACCTAGGAGGACTTCATGTAAGAGATGGTGTTTAAGACGAGTCATGAGGGGCTCTGGCCCCGTGGCAGAGTGGTTAAGTTCACGCACTCCGCTGCAGGCGGCCCAGTGTTTCATCGGTTCGAATCCTGGGCGTGGACATGGCTCTGCTCATCGAGCCACGCTGAGGCAGCGTCCCACATGCCACAACTAGACCACAACTAGAAGGACTCACAGTGAAGAATATACAACTATGTACCAGGGGGCTTTGGGGAGAAAAAGTAAAAAATAAAATAAAATAAATCTTTAAAAAAAAAAAAAGAAGAGTCATGAGGATTTTAGCAAGTGGAATTTGTGGCAGATGGAGGGGTGAGTAGAACCAGCGAGAATGGAAACATTCATGTGTAGAAACGGAGTCACCAGAGTAAAGTCAGAGGTATTAAGGAGCGGGGCATGTTTGGGGACCATCGAATGAGGCAGTTTCATTAGCATGTAAAACACACGAGGGGACTGTGGAAGGTGAAGGGAAGGGTGCACGGGGGCCAGGATGCAGAGGGCCTGGCTTGCTGGGGTATGGCGTTTGTCTCGGTCTGGTGGACAAGACACTTAAGGATCGATAGCAGGGGGGTGATTGACCACAGCTGTGATTTGAAAAGGACAATTAGGGAGCTGTGTGAAAGGTGAGGTGAAGGGAGATCTAGAGAGGGGGGAGGGAGGGGGGAGGGACGGAGAGAGAGAGAGACGAGAGAGAGAGAGAGAGAGAGAGAGAGAGAGAGAGAGAGAGAGCGAGAGAGACTAACCAGGTGATGCTAGATTTGCTCGAGACTAAAGACAATGGTGGCAGAGGTTGGGGCGGGGGGGGTTTGTCTTAGCCAGGACAGTGGCTGGTGAGGATGGAAAGAATGGGTAGATGTGCTTAGTAGACTTAGGAAATTCTTTCTAAAAAGAAAAAAAAGAACAATTTCTTTTCTTAAATAATTTATTTTCAATAAATTAATAGTTAAATAGCAAATCATAATCAATGGTTAAAAACACATCAACAAATAAACTCTTTGGTTGATACATCTAATCACATTCTACAAGGCAAAATAATTCAATTTCCATAAAATGCATATGAAGAAGATTACTGAACGCTATCGAAAAGAAATCAGCATAATAATAAGGTGCTTGTCCATTTTCAATCCTAAAACACTTAGTGACTGAACAGGGCTGTAGAAAGGCTGGAGACAGAGTCAGGAGGTCAGGCACTGTGTCCTGGGTTTCCACTAATTTCCATGTGACCTCTGGAAAGTCGCTCCAAAACCCTCTGGAACTGTTTTCTCCTCTGTAAAATGAGGAGTAGAATTAGCCACTCTAATGATCTGTATAAATCAATGGACTTGTTTATATCTGGTTTCCAGAGGTTTCCAGTGGTGTCCACAGCAGACCAAACCCTTTTTTTCAAGTAACAGAGTAGCATAGATATATAATCTGTGTAAACTTTTCTGTTGGGTTCAAGTGATCCATAAAGAGACATAACATCAGGGAACTACAATGTGTCTGAGCCATAAATTCTTCCTGCTGCAACCCCCAAGCCCTCACGATAGACACCAAGGAGGAGAGTAGAGTGATTTTTGAACTGGCCTCCAGTCTCATGGATACCTCACCAAGGTTTTGGTCGACATGTACCTATAATTCCTTTCAACCGTCACTTTAACCTAACACAACTTGGTATACCACAATCCAAGCTTGCAAAAGAAATAATTTAAGAGGTGAATTACATAAAGTAATATTTTAAATGTCTAGTCATTTATCAGAGGAATTTCCTGCAGGGCTTCTTTAAATAATTATCCCTCTCGTATAGTGCAATGATAACTCAATCTCCTCCTGACTTTTCAGGATCCCTCCCTTACATTTCAGTGGAAAGGCCCTCTGCACACACACACGGCCCCAACAGCAGAAAAGTGTACTCATTCTGAGAAGAGCAACGAAATCCTGCATTCAGGCAGAGAGGTCCTCTGTGCCTTCCTTGGCAACACATCAAAATGAAGCGAATATAAAAATACCATCAAAGTGTTATTTTGATCTAATGCCAGATGAGAGAGTAAGTAGGGTTGCTCAACTGACAACCATCATCAAAGCTTTGAGATGTATTATCACCTGGTAGTTTGGGAACAAACTTAAGTGCACAAAAGCTCATGAAGAACAGATGTACACTGGGGGGAGATTCCCTGGTCTCTGAGCTTATGTGTTTCCCTGGACTATTCTGGGTCTGTAGGGAAGTTTGCTGAATGCAATTTAAAGAAAGACCTAGAAGGAAAATATATTGCTCTCGATAAACACGTTGTGTTACAAGTATGAATGCTGTATAGAATTGAACGACATTATGACCTTGCCATTTTGGGGGAATGAGATTTTGAGGTGTTGAGGGAGCCTCATCCAGCTTTCTTCTGATCCCCAAAGCGAAGAGGCTCATTTCAACCTTTCATAGATCAAATATCTTTTCTAGAGTGGCAGGAAATGTAAATTCCTCTATCTTGTATGCAGTGGATATCCATACTCTCAAATCCACCAATTTCCTACCTGTGGTTCAGAAGGTTTTAAAACCAAGGTACCGTCAAGAACTTTGGGGAAATAAAATGTCCCAGGGACAATCAAATGGCATTATTTGTATTCTGGGCTCAACTATGGGATGCATCTTTGAATCCACGTATCATCAGACTGGCACATGGCCGTGAGTTCTGCCAGATCCACGCTCTTTCATTGACTTGTGGGGACCACCCCCCTAGCAAAAGATGGAGCTAATGCTCCACAGCAGGGAAGACAAATCACAAATTCATTAATTCATTAGAGTCTGGTATTACATTCCTATTGTCTACTCTAAATCTTGCTTAAACTAAGGTATCTGTTAAATGAATCATTAAATAGTAATGTTTGGATTTTCATAATTATGTTTGAATTTTATACATCTTAAATCAGCAGAAACTCAGACTGAATTAAAAGTTTTAATACGTCACATGAAATTAAGGGGTCAGATAAGCTATTTTAGCTGTTTTTCATAAGAAAACTATAAACTCTAATTGATAAATTATAAAGTCCTTTCCTCTCACAGATATAACCCACCTGTTGGCTTTAGAGATAACATATATACATATAAGTGGCTCAGTGCAAGTAACACCTCAGATTTCCACAGAGATGAGGATGCAGAGCTCTTCCACATTGTATCTCCTATGTTCCTGTAATCCTCGTGTCAAGAGGGGTTCTTTCCCACAGATTTTCCCACAAGTCTCCAGGCTGTTTTCTGCCTCTTTCCATTCATCAAGCTTAAGATTTATTTTGTTCATCCTTGATCAAATGTGCCTCCTTCTGAGGGAAGCATCTTTGACTCATCCATCTGAGGTTCATTATGAGAAAACTTTCTTATAACTGAAAACATACTGAACACAACAGTGGTTTAAAAACTTATTTTTTTTTTTAAAGATTTTATTTTTTCCTTTTTCTCCCCAAAGCCTCCCAGTACATAGTTGTGTATTCTTCGTTGTGGGTTCTTCTAGTTGTGGCATGTGGGACGCTGCCTCAGCGTGGTCTGATGAGCAGTGCCATGTCCGCGCCCAGGATTCGAACCAACGAAACACTGGGCCGCCTGCAGCGGAGTGCGCGAACTTAACCACTCGGCCACGGGGCCAGCCCTTAAAAACCTATTTTTAACCTATGATTTTTTTTTTCAAGCATCTTAAGCAGATCCCGGATAAATAAAACAGACAGACAGGCTGCTCTGCCCAAAGTCCCAGGGGTGGCAGACTCCCAAGTCACATTCTTCACGGCCTCCTTTCGGCTCTCTGCTGCTGACCATGAGCCACCTCCTGGGAAGCTTAAATTCATCCCTCACAAATTATTCATCAAGTTGACTCTGGAACATGCAAAGGGCTGTCGACAGCCAGTGACTTCTGAACAAGTGCTGCCCAGGGCGGTGACAGCCAGAGCCACACTACGGAATGTGGTGGCTTGGGCCAGGTAAAGGAAGCTGGTAGTCACCGAGAAGCGTCCTGTCTGGCAGGTGCGGTCCTTGGTGGAAGAGTCCCAGAATGTTTCCCTGAGCGGCCACGGCCGTTGGCTGCAGGCTTTGCTCTCGCAAGACCTTGACCAAGAAGTTGATATACCTCATCGCCAGGCGAAGTGTTTCATTTTTGCTCAGCTTTTTGTCTGGAGGGTGAGTGGGGATGAGCTTCCTCAACTTGGCAAAGGCACTGTTGACATTCTGCTGCCTGCACCGCTCCCTGGTGTTTGTGAAGATCTTCCTGGTCATGTCTGAGTTCCTGGGATGGGAAAGAGAAAGGGCCCTGAGGGCCAAGACCTTGTAAGAGGCCTGGTGGATACCACAGGTCCTGCCAAGAACTTGAGATGTCAGATCTTCTCCACCCAGATGTTAGAAAATTCCTTTCCTCATTTTTGGGTTTTTTTGCATCTTCCTTTTGGTAAGGGAAGAAAATGTGGCAGAAGAAAGGGCTGGGCAGGAACACCACCTTTCAGCTGTTTTTCTCCCAGTTTTGATTGAAGCCTCCAGTTGCAAGGCTGTTTATCCCAGCACCCCCACTCTTTTATAACCAATTCTTCCTAATTGTTCAGACGATTGAGTACATGTGTGAACAAAACATGTATTTAGCAGGAGGGAGTTGAATATGGATTCTCAAAGGAAAAAAGGCTGTGGTCCTAGGTCTCGTTAGGAAGATAACACCTGGACTGAAGAAGAGAGAGCGCAGCCCTCCTCTGCGTTGTCAGACCTCACCTGGAGGGCTGGCCCCCCGTGCACGAGCTGAAACATCCAGACCGGACCACATTTACAGGAGGACAGAGTGACGCAGAGTCTTGAAACCCTGTTGTATGAAGAACAGAAGTGAGTGTTTAGTGTGACAAAAGAAGAAAAGACAAGGGGCAGGGGGGGTGATGATCTGGCAGGGGTGCTGGAGGTTTTCAGGCGTCCCTGACTGGATGACCTTGCCAACCCTGAGAGGTGATCATCATCATCTATTGCCAAGTCTCATCGCACCATTTGTAACTCTTGGAGGCGTGGGTCCCTTTGTCAGGCAGCTTGGATTAACACACATTACTGGAACAGTTCACGATGCATCAGCAGAGAAGCCAAAGCCCAGTGCCCGACAGTTTGGGGCTCTTGGCTCACCCCCGCCTGCTCTAGCCTCAGCTCCCCCGCACAGTGGGCCCCATCCTGTTCCCCCAAAAGAGTCAAAGAGTAGTAAATATTCCTGACGGCATCCGTTTGCACATGCCATTCTCTGTTCCTTGAATTCCCTCCTCACTCTCTCCTTGCCTATTTCTACACATTCTTTGAAAGGCAGCTCAAAGCCTCCTTTTCTATGAAACCTTCCAGCCATTCCAGCGCCCCCCCCTGCCCTCCCCTCAGTGAACCCCTGCAGCCCTTGGTGGGAGACAAAGGCTGTTGGGAGGATTAAATAAGTTCATGTTTGTAAATAAGTTATAACAGTGCCTGACACTTAGTAATTGCTATAATAGTGTTAATAAATATAACAAAATAATAAATATATTTATAAATAAAAACGTGTGGGGTGTTGACTATCCCTAGGGGGTGATATCTTGTTTTTCTATAACCGAGCCTGCTACAATCTCTTGGTTCTTGGTGCCTCTGTTCTTTTATTTTAACCCATAATGTAGACCTACTCTGCGCCAGGCCCTGTGCTATGAGCTGGGATTGTGGACATGGTTGGGTGAGAACCTTGTTGGATGGTCTGGTGGAGGAGGCAGCACATACATAAGGACTTAAAAATCACAGCACAGGGTCCGGCAGGGTGGCATAGTGGTTAACTTTGCAAGCTGTGCTTCAGTGGCCTGGGATTCATGGGTTCGGATCCCAGGCATGAACCTACACACTGCTCATCAAGCCATGCTGTGGCAGCATCCCACATACAAAACAGAGGAAGATGGGCAACAGACAGCTCAGGACCAATCCTCCTCACGAAAAATAAATAAATAAGTAAAATCACAGCACAAAGTCCCACATGCTGAGGGCCAAATCCAGATCAACAACTGATGACTAGAGAAAGGTGTAAAAGAATTATGCCAAGACCAAAATGACTAGGTCAATAACATTGAACTTTTCCCTAAATTCTACCTCCCTTTTATTTTTATTTGGGTTTCTATAAGGATGTGAACTTGTGGGTAAACACCCCACATATCTGGAATAAGTTATATAAACCATCATGCGGGTTGCCAGGAACTCTTTAGGGACCCCTCAAAATGCCAGCTTCCTTCCACGCCTGTCGTTTATGTGAACAGCCCACACTGCAGTATGAGCTGGGGGGTTAAGCATTGGCATGTATGGTAGGAAAGAGTGGGCCCATTTTATTTGAAATTAATCTAAAGAAGTGATTCGTTGAGGCTCCGGGGGGTAACTGTGAAAAAGCGGTCCTTTGCTAATTTAAAACACGTGGAACTTCTGCTGCTCAACTTTTCTTCTCTTCCGGTGGCTCTCAACTTGAGCTGCTCATTGGAATCACCCGGGCTGCACCCCAGGCCAATTAAATGAAAATCTCTGAGGGCATCGGTATTTTTAGATTCCTCAGGCAGATGGGCTGGATCCTCCAGGAAGCAGACGCTGAGTTGGAGTTGGGGGTTAATGCCTATGACAGATAAAAAGGGAAGAAAGAACGGGACGAAGAACACCTGCAGAGGGCAACGCACAGCTGGCACCTGGGAAAGGAAGGCAGGAAGGAAGCAGGACCGCCCCGAAGATTCCTTTGGGCAGAAACAGCCAGATCCAGTGCCCTGCCTTCCTCACTCGTCGCCTGGGCGCCCGGGAAGACCGGGGGCGGGGAAAGCGCGGCCCTGAGAGCTGGGGGCGCTGAGCTCCTGCCGCCGAGCCGCAAGCTCCCTCTTGCAGGGACCTCCCGGCGCGCCTCTCTGTGACCTCAGAGGGCGGCCGAGAGGAGCACCAGCTCGCTACTCTCCAAACGGGAAGGCTCCACCCTCAGCAAAACCGTGTTTAAGAAGGAGGCGGGGGGCTGGCCCCATGGCTGAGTGGTTGGGTCTGTGCGCTCCGCTGCAGGCGGCCCAGTGTTTCGTTGGTTCGAATCCTGGGCACGGACATGGCACTGCTCATCAAACCACGCTGAGGCAGCGTCCCACATGCTACAACTAGAAGGACCCACAACGAAGAATATACAACTATGTACTGGGGGGCTTTGGGGAGAAAAAGGAAAAAATAAAATCTTTAAAAAAAAAAAAAAAAAGAAGGAGGCGGGACCCTGCCTTCCTGGAGGAAGGGGCAGGAGTAAACAGAATAGGGGAGGGGCCACCCTTGCCCTCGGGTGGTGTGTGTTCTCTTCACAGCACCAAACACGAACCAGCCAGGAGCTGCTGCACAAGTCGCCTCACCCACCCGAGCCTCAGTTCTCAGCTGTACTCAGGTGTGATGATACCGTTCCCGCCTCACAGGGTGGTTGTCCAGAGTAAATGAAGTGCTGCATGGGAAAGCATTCTGTGAACTAGAAAATCAGGAAGATGGGAGCAAACAGTACTTTGTGCCAGGCACTGTTTTCGTGAATTAACTCCGCCTAGATGTGTCTGTAAGTGGTGCTGGTTGCAGTGACAATATTGTAGATATTGCTGGGATCCGCCTCGGGATGCCAACATGTTCCAGGAGTCATTTCCCTCTACAGTGTATTGGTATCTCTGCGATTCTGTGGGAATCAAACGATGATCCCAGTTAACTGGAACAGCCCCTCTTACCACCACTGACTGTATGGAAGTCCGCCAAAAGTGGAGGCATCTGTGTGGTGGTTAAGAGCACAGCCTCCAGAGCCAGAACCCTGGCTTGGCTTTTGGCTTTACTCCTCCTAGCTGTGTGACTTTGAGCAATCTACGTAACCTCTCTGTGCATCAAAAGCCTCATAAGTAAAGGGTGACTCAGGCTACTACCTGCGAGGACACATAAAACGATACACGTAAAACACCTCAGCACAGCGTCTGGTGCACACTACATGCTCAACAAATGTCAAATGATTGCAATTATTATCTCCACAAATAAAATAGAGGAAAGTAAATGTTCACTGTCATTTATAATTTTTTTTCTGATGAAGAAGCTACAGTGCCGTAGAAAGGTCCAAGCTTTATTCATGTGTGAGTCTGTTTCACCCTCTAGGGGGCTGTGGACAGATACGTGTGTACAGACAGAAGAAACATCTGGAAGCATTCAGGCCAAGCTGCGGACAGTGGTTCCTTGGGGGAGGCAGTGGGTTGGGGAAGAGAGAAAAAGGCGATGTATGTGTTTTATTCAATATACTTTGGTATTGTTTTACATTTTTATAACAAAGTATTCATATATTATTTGCTTCATAATAGAAAGAAATTAAGAAAGTTTATGGGTTTAGTGTAGAAAGACCTGGCTTTGAATCTCAGCTCCCAATTTCCTAGTTATATGATTCTGGGAAAATCCATTAACTTCTTTAAATGTCAGTTTTCTTCTCTGAAAAATGGATATAAAGCCATCTCCATGCTTCTTGTGAGGATTAAATCAAACACTATATAAAGTATTTGAACATATAAATGAGACACTATGTCACCAGCACATGGGTGCTTAATAAATACAAGGGTCCTCTTGCCCATACAGACGAGAAGTATTATTATCCCAAGAATAGCATTTTTCAGTCGTCTGTATGCTCCCAGGACATTTCTCCGTCCCAGTTCTCATTGCCTTTCCTGCTTCTGTCTGGGCTGGAGAGGCCAGAGCTGTGGTAAGTGCAGCCCAAGTTCACTGTCCGGCTTCAGCCTTCCTCCACCGGTCACGGAGCTCCACCTCCTCTCTGTGTGGAGACACTCCTAGTGGGACCCATGATCCAGTTACAATCATATGCTCTCCAAGCTTTGGTACCAACACTTACTGATCCTATGTGCCAGATACTCTGCTGGCTTCCAGATACTGAGGAGCCCGCTGCCTTGTGACATGGAGAGGGAAGAACAGGGGCTGTAGGAGCAGAGAAATAGCACCTAACCCAGCAGTCTAGAGGGCTTCCAGACAGAACGTGGATCCCTCCAAACCGAGGGGGTGCGCCCGGTGACGCCAAGGCCTCTTTCTGCTCTGAAATGCCATGGTGCCCTGCCTATGGCCTTGTATGGAACGTAAGTCATTTCTAAACAACCTGGCCTTCAGATGTACAATGAATCTATGAGTGTTGTCAGGACTGTGCCCGACTATACCTAAAATATGAAGGTTTGAACCTAAATCAAGGGAATTTTAAGATAGAAAACTATCCAGTTTTGCTGATACTGGGGCTGGCTGCTTCGCAGCCAGGACTGTGGAAGAAAAGTTACATTTAAGCTTCTCTTGTCACAAGAGGGTTTAGCTCACTCACTAAGTCAACTCCAGTCCCATGGGGGGTCTTTTTCAAGCTGGGAAGAAAAAGATTAGGCAGGATAAACTAACCGGTGTGCTCTTCTAAGAGGGCTCGAGCCTATTGTGCTAGGAGCAGACAGAGGAAATGAGAGAATAGAAAATGGGCTTCCGAAGGTGCCCTGCTGTCCTGGGAGGTGCTTTATAATTCCTTGTTGATTTATCTCAAGTGTGTTTCTCTCTTCTCCACAGGGGGAACAGAAATCAGGGATTAACAAGCTGGAAAAACTCAAAGGAGAGGTCACTGGAAAATTACTAAGGTGCTTATTAAATCAAAGGAAGACTGCATTTATGTTCTTCCGGTTTCGAGGACTGATTGCTGCTAATCTTGATTTCAGAGTAACTCAAGAGCTTAAAAAATACGCCAGATGCCACAGAATCAGAGAACACCTGACAGATGTCGAAACGGGTGAAGCGCTTTGCCCAGGTCACCCCCCCAGCTTGGGTGTTTATGCATCTATGTCACCACTGACTCCTGCTGGGTCAGGGTTCATGCCCTTGTCTGTGCCATGGACCCTTCTGGCAATCTGGGGAAGCCTAGCGACGGATTCCATCTCAGAACGATGATTTCAAATACATGAAGTAAAAAGCTTTAGTTCCCTTCTCAGAATAGTGATTTTAAATGCATGAATTAAAATACATAGACACATGAAATAACCAATTCTACTTGAGTTATTAAAATAATTTAAAAATACAAAACAGTAATACGTGCTTCATTTTTAACATATTAAACAATTAAATTTATTCCCATAATTTCTAAGTAGTGATATGTAAATTGTTTTTTCAAATGGTCTGCAAGATCAGTAACATGAGATGAAGGTGCCTACGATTTCTATTGATCACAAAGTCACCAGTACTGCTAAGACCGCTGTAGTTTATTACCCACATTCACGAATAAAGGAAATGCTAAATTTAGATTAAAGGTTGGTGGAGATAAAGATGTAATTTTTTTCCAGTCCAAATATATAGAACCCCTGAATTCTATCTACACACCCCTGGATGGCTATGTCAGGGACCCCAGCTTAGGAATGCCTGTGCAGGAGGAATGTCACGGTAAATACAACAGGAATATAGGTGTGCACAAACTTCTATTTATATCGTTACCACTGAAGGTAACAGGTTAGCAGAGGAAAGAATGACAATTACGCCCCTAGAGAAGGTGACAATGCCCCCAGTAGGAACTGCTGCTTTTTCGTGGGGGTGGTTCCAGGACACAGAACCAAAGTCAACCAGCAAGGATGCCCACAGGTTCAGGGCTAACATTCCCCCCCGGGGCCTGGCTCAGGCATTCAGACTCATAGACTCTTTTTTCCCAAGACTTATGTTTCTCTTCCTGGCATTTGGTCCCGTGTATTGTCTTTTCTTTCATCTTTCTCTTGAAAGTGAGTGAAAACACTCTCCAGAAAAAGGGAGGTGCTTCCTACAGCTGGGTTAGGGAAAGGCACCTGACCTCAAACACAGGGCACAGCTTTGCCTTTTGAAATTATTATACAAGTAACACATGCTCATTTAAGGGGAAAAAATTAAGCTGTACACAAGTGCATAAAGTAAAAACTAAAAGGCTATCTGTCTACCTAGTCAATCTTATTCCCCAGCAGTAGCCAATTTGGTGTGAATATGTATAATATTTATATATCCTTCGTATCTTATATCCTTTAAAAATCAGAATACATAGTATTACGCAAGTTACTTTTCTCATTAGACAACTGTGCTTGATGATGATGTTCTAAATAAGGACATTTACTTGAATGCCAGTCTTCAGGTGGCACCCCGCGCGCCCGCCGGGAGAGCCGCCTGTTCCAGGATGCGCTCAACACGCGCGCCTCCTGCACAGCCCGCACACCCCGTTGCCCTGCCCGCCTCACCTCCCGGCTTGTCCCTATTGCTCTCGATACCCTTTGCTCCCCGGCCTGCAGTGCCCTGCCTTATTGACTAAGTAGTTCAGGAAAGCATCACTTGCTAAAGTGTCGCACCTGCCAGATGTCCGGGAGTCGCTCACTGAGACGCAGGAACCACCTAAAGGGCCCTCGGAGATGCTCCGGAGCGTCCCCGGCACCGCGGATCCAGGCGCAGCGACCCCGCCATCACGCGCTAGGGGACCGGCCCCCGCCCCTGCCCCGCGGAAAGCCCCCGGGGCTTCTCACCGAGTCGCCTTGGTGGCTGCTACCAAGTCCCCGCCACACCCCTGCTCTCCCGGGCGGGCGCGGCTTGGACTCATGGGGCCGCGCGGAGACCGTGGCCCTTGAGCCCGAGCCCAGCCCCGGGGCGCCCACGTCCCGCCGAGGCGACGCACCTCTTCACCCAGAGCCGGAGCCCGCGCCGTCGTGGTCGCCGTAGCCGGCCGTGTGCGCCCTCCCCTGGACGCCGCCGCAGCCGCCTTTATAGGACCCCGCCCTTTGTTAGCTGGGCCCAGGGGGCCTCTTCCCGCCCTGGACCCCCGCCCGGCCCTGCCCACTCCCCGCGCCCCGCCTCCCTGAGCCCTGGAAAGGGGCCGGGCGGAAGGAGAACCGCGCTGTGTGTCAGGTGCGCGGCCGAGGGGTCCTGCCCCCCATCGGCCTGCGGCCAGAGGCCGGCTCGGGGCTCACCGACCCTCTTCTCCAGCGTCGACGAACCGCGCAGAGTCCGGGCCGCGTTCATTCATCAGATGTCAATTATTTAAGCCAATGTAGTCCAAGACGCACGGGCTTCAGGATCACGGGTGAGGGGAGACACATCTCCACACCCACAACCCCGACCCAACAGATCAGGTTTTCTGGCAGTGGGATCCCAAATCTGCGTTTTTCACCCCAAGAGACTAAGATGCACAACCAAGTGTAACCGCCACTGTCCCGGACAGATTCCCGGGGTGTTCATCTCAGTTCCCGCAGCGTCCGGCACAGGACTTGCTTCTTCCAGAGGCCTCCAGCTCGGTCTTCCTGCTTCTGCATTGCCTCTTTCCTCTACTCCAGTATCACCCAGAATGATCCTGTGAAAACCCAAGTCAGAGTCCCGCCACTTCTCTGCTCAAACCCTCCGGTGGCTCTGCATTTCACTCAGTTACAACGGCCCCCGAGACCCCCTTTACCTGACCTGTTCCTTCTCTCCCGGGGTTTACTCAGCTCTAGCCACTCTGTTGTTTCAGGAACATGCCCTCCTGCCTCTGGCCTCTGCGATGTGTTCTCTGCCTGAAGCACTCTGCTCTCAAGTTATCTACCTAGTTCCTTCCCTCACCTCCTCTTGTTCATTTGACAAATTATTATTGAATGTGTACTATGGGCCAGTGCCTAATCTAGGCACTGAAGTTGGGGACACAACTTCAAACCAAACAGACTCGAATCGCTGCCCTCAAGCTGCTGACGTTCTTCGGGTCTTTGCTCAAATGTCACCTTCCCAATGAAGATTCTCTGACCACAATATCTGAAATTGCACCTTCACACACAAGGACTCTTCCTCCTGCCCTGCTTTATTCTTCTCCTCAGCACTCATCCCCGTGTAATATTTTACTCGTTCATCTTGGCTGTCTCCTCCGCAGCTCCAGTGAATAGGCGTTCATCGAATGCTGGTTGATTAATGAATGGTTGAGGAATGAATTTCTAGGCACCCCACTCTCTGAAGGACCCAGCATAGGATCGAGCACGGTAAATTCACAAACGCATTACAGCTTAGTGGACGAGAGCAGAGGCCTCTGGAGTTGCACTACCCAGGTTGAAATCCCTAGTTTACCCACTTACGTGACCCTAGGCAAATTATGTAAATTCTCCCTGCCTCAGTTGCCTCATCTATAAAATGGGGACAATAAGAGGATTGTGAGGATTAAATGAGAAAAACAAGTCAAGCATTAGCACTGTGCCTAGCACTCAGTCAGAACACCGTAAATTTTATTGTGATAGATTGTATTATTGTTATAGCTACTGGCTCCCTTCTGTGAGAGGACTACGTAGCCTCGCCCACTGCCACGTGACTGGCAGTGCCTCCCTGTAGGTGGAGGGAGAGGACTTCCCGGCCGCCTTTAAGGCTTGGCCATGAGACTCGCTGCAGCCAATGGAATATGAGCGGACCTGACATCTGGCGATGGAGCCCAAGCTTCGAGAGTGATTGCTGGTTGGGCTCAGTCATGAGAACGTCCTGTTCCGGGTTGGTCTTTCAGCCTCTAAGCCATGGAGCGAACCCATAGCCAACCACAGCCCTTGTGTAACATGACTGAGGAATAAATCTTTGCTGTTGTAAGCCACGAAGACTTTGGGGATGTTTGTCCCCCTCCTCAAAAAAAAAAAAAATGAATACAGTTCCTATTATAAATAAAAAATCTGTTGCATGAATTGCTAGGTTGGGGGGTGGGGGTGGCACAGGAAGATGAAGAAAACTATCTGTCTTCAAGGAGTGCACAACCTTTGGGAGGGGGAAGACATGACAAAAATGACTAAATACAAGCTAGGCGGTCCTGAGTGCCAGAGTGTGAAATTGGTGTTAGGGAGGCAAAGGATTCTAGCTGGACCAGACATCGCTCGTGGGAGGGACAGCATTTAAACTAGGCCTTGAGGCAGGCTGCCTCTGACATTTGTGGGGCCCAGGACAAGGGTACAAATGGCTCCTGACCCATCCCTCCCCATCCTTTTCCCATCCCTCAGCTCTGTCCTGCTCTGTGAAGGGCCTTATGTATATGATGTGGACTCCCAGCCCACATGGACCTAAGGAAGAGCTCTGTGCAGGCTCTGAAAATGGGCCCAGGTCCTGGATACCCAGAATGTGGTCTAGAATGTGGGAAATGGGCACCAGGGGGCACTGGAGTGGGGCTAGAGCAGGGCCATCTAAAGCACAGAACCCACGGCAGGGGCCCCGGTTGCCTGGTGCCTGGGCGCCTGGAAAGAAGGGTGGAAAGGCTGGGCAGGAATTCCAGATGGAGAGCGGAAGAGAGAGCAGTCATGTGAAGGCAACTGTGTGCCTCGAACATGGGAGAAATGTTTAGATTTACAGTTACAAGGCTCATTGTGGTGGCAGTGCAAAAGATGGATTGGCGAATGGGTTGGAGAGAATTAATTGGTTAGTTCCTACATAGGCACAAAGGGGCCTTTGGAAACATAACCTAATATTTGCAGTAAATTTGTCCTCTTTCTGCCCTCTGTCTTTGTGTGCTGTAGAAGGGGAATTGCAGCCTCATGGTGCCCATCCTTTTCCATCTTGCCCTATTGTATCACAATTCTGATACAGCACATGTTAGATTTTAAACCAAGAACCTATACTACCCTTCATCTTAGCCCAAAACCTGCGCAGTAATATATTCTCGGAATGGCATATCCCACAGCTGTAAAAAAAGAACTGTGGCAACTGGGTAGCAAGCTCAGAGATGTGTGATGCTAAATGAAACAATAAGCTGTCAAATAGGATCTGTGTACAATTGGACAAGGACTGCGAGAAAGGACGAAGGCTGCAGAGAACAGAGCACAATCGTGTCGGCACACTGGAACCAGGCTTGACACTTGTTTTCTTCTCAAAACTTTCTTACATATTATCATTGGTTTTATAATTTTAAAAATGGGGGAAACAATTTTGGTGCACCATTCCACTAGCAGCGATTCTTCGGAGCGATGGGCCCTCTCCCATCCCAGTCCCCCAGTGTGGAGAGGTTAGGGGCGAGGAAGGGGTTGAAGTAGGAATTTACATAATCCGATTATTGGGGGATTAGGTTTGGGCAGCGAAACGCCTCTGTGTGCTTGAGCTAAAACCCTTACTATTCATGGCTCTCACTGCCCCCTGGAGAGACTGCACCTGCGGGCTCCTAGGGAGGGAAGAGCAGGCTGGGGAAGGGAGGGCGGGTCGCTAGGATTGCTTGGGCATTGGCAGGCTCTCTGGTTCTACTGGCTTAATTGATCTCTCTGGATTAGCCTGTGAATACTGGACCTCTAGTCCTGTATGCAGCAGTTGTCAACTTCAGGAAAGACCAAACCTGAGGTTTTCAGAAGGGATTTCTGTGAGCCCAGGTGGTTGTGGGCCAAGGTCATTTTGGCTAGAAGTTAAGCATCAGCCATATCCAGTCTCAAAACTCCCTTCCTCCCCCCTCATTCTAAGCCCCCTTCCTGATCCCTAATTCTGCATATCCAGGCCCCAAGCATCCATCTCTCTCTCCATTTATCCATCCATCCATCCATCCATCACTTCTTCCTTCCACCTATTGTGTATGCATCCATCAATTTATTCATCACCTGAATTAGCTGGTTCTTGTTATTAATAGATTTTCTAGTAAATCCTTCTAGGCAGGTTTTGTTCCTTCAAGTGTTCTCTTAAGTCAATTTTGGCACTTTGACATTTTCAGATTCATTAGTAATTTATATACAGTCATTCAATGACTTTTAAAAAATATCTCTGTATTTGTGTTATTGCCTTTCTCATTCCTCACATTATATGTTTATGACTCTCTCTTCCTCATTACCTTTGCTCATCCATTTTACTGTTCTTTTAAAAATATCCCTGTGATTCATCATTTTTATGATTTTCTAATGCATTAATTTCTACTATAGCTTTGTTAAATCTGCTCTTTCTTATTTTGCTTATGTTCATTTTGTTCTCTCTCCACCTCTCATTCTTAGGTTGAGTGTTTTCACTCTTTCTTGTTTAATAAGGAAAGCATTTCAGGTTATGAACTTTCTGCTGATATACCTTTGGTGTCACCTGGTGTTTCAATTTCAGAATCTTTGTCGCTAGCTTCTAACATCTGTTGTTTATTTTAATTTTTCTTTTAGAAAGTCTTTTTAAAATGTCCTTATTGTTGCATTTTTTGGTAACCATTTGCTATTAATTTTATTGCAGTATAATCAAAGATACGCTTCTGTACATTTTCTGCTTTTGGATGTTAATTGAGATTTTCTCTTTGGTAAAACATAGGATCAACTTTTACAAATACTCCATAGGCAACAGAAAAAGAGGTATAGTTTCTGCTTGAAAAATAAAAGGTTTTTTATACACACCCACTAGACCGACCCTCTGTATCCTCGGGAGTTCGGGCTGTTCGATCCGGTAGAGAGAGCTGTGTGACAGCCTCCCTCTCCCATTTCATCTGTTCCTTCCTTTTGCTTTTTCCAGGACTGTTGGCCTTAGATCTTTATACCTTTAGACGCATCGCATTTGGCACATGAAGACTCATGGAAGCTTTATCGACTTAGAGAATTGTGCCCCATGTCAGTGTAAAATGACCCTCTTTGCCTTGCTTTTTATCCTGAATTCCATTTCTGTATTATTGCAACCCCGTTTTTAAATTTGCATTTTCCAAATAAAACTGCACCTGCTCTTTTGCTGCTAATTTGTAGGTGTGTGGGTGTGGCTGTTGGTCATAGGCTTTATCTTTCTGTGAAACTTTATTTGGTAAATTTAAATTCCTTTGACTCTGGTTTTTTAAAGGAGTCCCAT